TTGAAGTATTAAGTTTAAAATAAAAAACAATATGTTTAAGAAATGTAATTCCAATGCGAGAAGGTTTTTGAAATGAGAAATATGACTTCGAGTACGTACGTCTTTGTCTCAATACATTATATGAATGTGATATCTTGAATTGAATATTGATTATTAATGTGTTAATAAAATCGATCTTTAGTTTTTACTGACAGTATGTATCATGGTCTTTACATTCCTAACGCAAGTCAGTCCCAGTTGATTGGATGAAAAATTCATATCATATTTATATCAATTTTTTTATTTTTGAAAAAAAAATAGCAATCATTTTAAAATTGTTTTATTATGTTCCTTGCAGGAAACAGTATCCTTCAAATTCGTCTATACGATGATCTATTCAATTATATTTAATTACAAGTTATGCAAATCTGATTTATTGTATTGCTCATAATGATTTAAATTAACATATAATTTTTTTATAAAAATCGAAAGAAGTAACAACAACTACAAATGTCTTACAACGGGTTTTATAATACAGTTTGCAAATATTGTTATTTTGTAGCCTATCCAATAAAATTGTACGATGTTAGGAAAGAAACAGAGTATGCATCCTTGGGGAAAAAACAGTAAGTACTATAATATGTAGAATGTAGAAAGCTTCCTACTCCATATATTTCCAGAAAATGGATTTCCCTATTTATGTACTCCGTATTTTGAAGCAGTAGGTAATCCTAGCTGAAATGTTTTTTTAGTATATGGTGCATCATGTAATTTATATAATCTAAAAAAACTGTATGACTTGGTATTTTTTAATAATACAATTTCAGTATAAACATAATTGTAGAATTAATATTTTCAAAAAATGTCTATTTAAATTTAAATTAAATTTTAAAATGTGCACAGTTATTTAAAATATGCAGAAATTATAAACTGTAGTAACTATGTAAAAAATACGGTTTTATTAATGTATTCTTGTATGGACACAAACAATAAGTCTTTTTTTGAATCTTAAAAATAATGAAAGTAAATTTACTGAACTTTCGTTACAAATAATCAATGAAAAATTATGATATACTTTATTTAAAAAATTATAAATGTGTGTCAATAATATAACATTACATTTTAAAATCCTATGTATATGCTTATAAATTCTATACATGTGCCTAAAATGTTATATGATATAACTAAAAGCATTAGACAGTCTCTAGTTTTGTCTTAACAATGTTTACAAATGTTAATTATGAATAATTGTTATTCAAATTCATAAAGTTTAGCTTTTCACGGGGGAGTTTACATTCAATCTATCTAAGTCTGTACAATTTGTCAATGTGCATACCATAATTGTAGTAAGGACAGATACATAGGTAAATACTTCGTAAAAAATAATAACGTCTATAAAAATGTTGTTTATAACTAACACAATTCGTTTCCTAAAATAAATTCAGATAATGTGATGTATCTGATTGAAAAGCCAAATGTTGAAATTCTAATATATCTAGTCATAGGTATAACATTAAATCGAACTATAGTATTCACTATTGGTATAGTTTAAAACTTTAAACCAAAATACTTGTCTTAAACCTTATTAAATGGGTCAAAAGTTCAATGTAAGTGACCTTAAAAATGCTGTCAATCCCCAAATCTCCACGTCAATTAAAAAATTATCGAAGTGCCCTCCAATGGAAATGTTTAACTGTAAACGTCAACTGTGTTCTATCCATAATTTAAATGTAATACATTTCTAGGAATAATAAATATATTAGGCATATTACACCTTAACTTAAAAGCCAACATTTATGAGAAGTGTACGTGCATTTTGATTATTCAACTATTGGTTTTAATTTATCCTAAAATATGTACTTATTTCACTACCAATAATTAGTTTGGCATAAAGTTACAACTGTGTACAGCCAAAGTGGCAATATACCTACCCAATACCAGTTTAATTATGTTCGCAGTACATAAAATATACGATGCAACATATATATATATATATATATATTCTTTTTAATATGGAAACTATAATAATATTAGGTGTAATAAAAAATTATACCCAAGTAATAACTATTTGATAGTTAAAATTGGACGAGAATCACACAATTGCTCAATTTATTACAGGAATATTATACGTTTTTACCTAATAATATTTATTTCTATAGAAACATAATATCATGGTTTATCGTAATTTTAAATTTTTTCAGAGAATTATATAAAACAATACATATTTGATGTTCAAATATAGTGCACGAGATTTTACTTTGTATAAATATTACATTTCATCTCTTGTCATCATTTTTTTATTCTATAAGGCTTAAATAAATTTAATATAGTTAATGAAGTTTCATTTTTTTTTTAAATAATAAATTAAAAAAAAAATATATATATATATATACGTGAAAATAACGATTTACATAATATTATAGTAAGTTATAACACGGTTTATGCTTAACTATTATCTTATTTAAGTTGAAAAGTTATTTCTCTTTAATGTTGATAACTTGCTAAGACTTGTTTAATCATTTATTTACATTTTTAATAAATTCCTTACAGCACAAACTGCACTGAAAATATTCTTGTTTTAGATTCCAAACATACATTTTTAGATACATTTCAGTGGTACATGAAAAGCCTTGAAAGTCGTTATGGTTTATAATTTTGGTTAGGTCATGACATCATAAATAAATGAAGCACATTTTTAATAGGTACCTATATGATTTGTGTTTAATATTCATCATTTTTTAAATGGGCCGAAATTCTGTTCTACCAAAGACAAACCAACAGTGCCTAAAATATTTAATTTAAAACATATCTCGATGGGTGATGGAACATAATTTTAGGTACCTAGTTGACGTTTCTTAAATCTACAGTATCAAACATACATAGTAAATCTACCACGGGCGCCCGATTAAGTTCATTCGTAGTTATGGTTGATTAAAAATGAACTAACACATCTTTAAAATGAAAAAAACTCATGCATAATATTTGATTTTGTTCTTTTATAATATGTCCAATTTGTATGAAACAAACTGTCTTCGTTTATCATTATAAATAAAATAAATGAATACATTTTTACCATCAATCAGTCAATCTAAATAAAATATTTGTGTTGCATCTAAATAAATGATGGTAAAATACAATTAATACATTAAATTTATTTTAAATGGATTATTATACGTGTATATATTATAGGCATACCTTTATAATAACTAGTTTCAAATAATTTATTTGTTAATATTAAATCAAGCCATATAGCCATCACACATAGGTTATGTATTTTGTTTTAATATTGAAATGAAAATTTCATAGAGTTATTTATTAGCTTTTTCAATTTATTTTGTGACACTAAAACAGACATTTTAAATCATTATGACAGAAAAATTAAAGTAAATTAATACAAATTAATAAAGTATGATTATAGTAGTAGTATAATTATATTTTATAAACCAAATAAATTTGTATAATATATTTAATTTTTTTATTAGACTATTTACTATTTGATAAAGTCCCACTGTGAAAGCACTTTGTCATTTTCATTTATTTATCATTACCTAGATACTTAAAAAAACCTGGTGTATTTCACTTTGAACCCATTATTTTAAACTTAAAAGTACTTTTTCCCTTAAGAACTTAGAATACATTTGAAAGTATAGTTGTTTAACACAGAAACACTTTTATGTTTTTTTTTTTTTACTGATTTTACTTATTGTATCATACTTTTTATTTTTATTATTAATTGTTGTTGCTCATGCAGAAAAAAGGAATACTTCTTTTGTAGGCTTTGCTATGATTTTACTTGAGCTAGTATATATATATAATGTTTGTTATGCGGGTTGGCAATTTGATAATACATTATTTGAGGGTGTCATTGCTAAGAACTGTGGAATTCACAGAAGGTATACCATACTTATAAATATGGACACTTCAAATATGTTTTTGTCAAAAACCTAATATCCATTGCATTTTAATATTTTATTATTTATAGTCATATTTGTATTAATAATTATTTGTATAATCGATGATTTTAATAATTTTGAATAAATAATGATTATTATTTTAAATTATCCTTGATGTATATTTAGGATTATTTTTTACTTTTCATAGTTAACAGTTTTATACATAAAACGTATGAAATCATCTAAAATTCTTATATCCTAAAATAATAAATACCTATTTTCAATGCTAAGATTTTTTTTTTGTATATTGGATTGATTTAGTATGCTATCACCGTAGTTATGAATTATTTAATTGCTTTTGATGAGATGGTTGGTTGTATTCAGACGAAAGAGAAATGGTGACTAGGTAGCAAATGTTCGTAAACTTGAAATCAATAATGGTTGTAAATGCAACGAAAACCAATTGATTGTAAATTATTAATCATAATAAACATGGTATACTACTATGGTCATGCTACAGTACTTGGACTATTTTAAAATAAACAGTGTTGTAAGAACCTAGAGGTTTGAACTCAAAGCGATTAAAACGTTCACTTAGTTGTCGCATTCTACTGAAAAAGGGAATTAAGGCAGGGGTCAAGCGTCGTCATCACAGCTTTCATCAACAAATTTGACCGAACATACTAAAAAAAGAGAGAGTAAAGAGGAAAAAAAGCGTTTCGACGGGTGTTGGTGAGTGGCGGCCAGTGACGTAGTGAGTGATATTTTTACAATGGGCAAGGCAAAACGTTTAGTACCTAAGCCCACAGGGTCGAGGCGAGTGCACCCATTTAGACCTTATGTATTATTAATGTTCACCACGTCACTGGTGTTGGTGATGGTGGGGAGGAATGGAAGAAATGTATAATAGTATACCACTGGTATGTGTCTATAACGGTTGTGGTATATATACAAATTAGGTACAGGTATATTATATGGTTCTGTGGCGATATATGCGGTTACTTAATAATACAGTGTGCATGACAACAAAAGTCGTTGCCGAGTAAAGAAAAAAAATTGTAAAAATTGAGAAAAAAATAATAATAACAGCTCCTAACGTGTTTTATCGTATTACGGTTATTATCCAACCTGTCGGAATTGTCTGATCGCGCCATTTAACCGCAGGGAGTCGGCCGCGATCATGGCTATATTGTCGGCCGGGTCGCGGAGCTGTCGCAGCGACGAGCTGGGCTGATGATGAATGTTGTGGCAACAGTGGCCTGAGCACATGGACGCGCTGCCGGTGGCCTCGGGCTGCGAACTCTGCCTGATGATCCGTGAGCTGGGCGACGTGGTGAGCAGGACGGGCGGCGGCGGTGACAGTCCGTATGCGGATCCGACGCCGCCGCCGCCGATCGAGCCGCAACCGCCGACGCCGTAACCGTACCCGTAACCGACGGCCGAGCAACCGGCGGCACCGGGCATGCCGCCGACGCCACCACCGCCGACGCCACCGACGCCGCCTACCGAGCCGCAACCACCGCGGACACTCTCCCGGGACACGGACCGCGAAATGCAGTGGCTCTTGCGCCTCAGACACTGGCACCGGGACACCGCCAAGTACCGGCAGTGCAGTTCGATGTCCGGCACCGACCTTGCCGCCGCACCGCCGTCGTTGGGCGGCCCGCTGTCGTCGCTACTCCCAAGCGTCGGCGTGGCGTTCCGCAGATCGCGGTAGTGGTGAGGGATCAGTGACGTGGTGCAGTCCTGTCGAGTCAACACGGGCTTCCCGGACGACGTGGAAGGGCCGGCTGCGGTGGTGGCGGCCGAGGAAGAGGTCGCGGCCGCCACCGACGAAGACCGGACGACCGGCGGAGGACTCTTCACCAGCAGCGATGCGGTCTCTTCGCTGCTTCCGTAACCGCAGTTTGGCGCCGTCTCGGAGGACATGATTCGTCCACGCTTCTCACTGCTCGCCGACCTCGTCTGATCACCTGAAATCATTAACACCATAGAGTTCGTTAGTCAACGTGTACAGTGAAAGTAATAATATAATATGGTATAATTATATTTTGCAAACATTACACGCCCTATCCCCCTCCCTTGCCGACCTAACCAAGGGACTAATATTATAATTGTTATTATTATACACTCGATACTCCTAATGATTATTGTAAGTTGTAACATTGAACATTGTTTTTTTACAAAAAGCAAAGAAAAAAAGCATAGATTGCAGCAAAAACAGCAACAGAGCAGCAGCAGCGTAAAGCAACCAGGACTTCAAACTGAAAATAATTTTTTTTTGGTCAATTGTTACTGGTTTTCATTTTCGGAGTAATAAGGCAGGTTATTTATATTGTTATTATATTAAATGGTTTTTTAAAACCAGTTTTCATAACAATACACCGGTTAAATTGTTATTTTTTTTTTTTTAAGTAGCGTATAATCTTATTATGCTTTCGAATATTATTGTAAAAAAAGTACTAAACGTAATTCTTGTTGAATATTTTGTTTTTATTCTATTAGAAAAAGTCGTATCCACATAAAATATTGTCTCCATCTTACTAAATACATCAAAATGTACTTCCAGTAGTTTCAATTTTGTATTGTTATCTTAAATATTAGAGTGAATTCACTTATTATCAAACTTAAATGTAAGAACATTATCTGTGTGTCTCTGAAGTTTTGTATGGTATTTAATTTTTAAGTAAGTTATGAGTATAGGTATGTAAAATATTAATGCTTGAAAATTCTCATAATTCACTTAAAAATTAAAACATCGTAAAAATCCAAAGGGAACACAGATACTGTTCTTAAATTTAAGTTTGATAAAACTAAGTGAATTCACTCTAATATTTTAAGCTAACAATACAAATTTGTAACTGCCTGAAGTACATTTTGGTATATTATGCATTATTAAAACGGAGACAACATAATATGTGGTTATGATAGTCTTAAATACTAAATTTTAGATTCATTTTAATCGGTTTTAAGCTCTGAAAACAACAAATACGAACATTTACAATCTACGTAGCTAAATGATCACTATTAACAGTATAATATTATGAAATCGGGGCTATTAAGTTAGTTTAATATAAATATTAAAAAAAAAATGGTTGTAAATTACTCAAATATGTACTAGGTAGATAATAATAAATACAATTGAATAAGAAACTCAAATAAATCAAATTTATATTTGAAAGATTCTTAAAGCTAGTATTCAATGCTTTTAATTACAATACCTAACATAAGATAGACTTATGAAAAATGAATGCAATATAAGAACATAATTTTGAATTATTAATCAAAATATTAATTTTAATTTTTCACTTTTTATTTTTAGATTTAAAAGTATGGGTATGTAAAAAATAATGAGTACAACATAAACATAAGAAATCCAAAGAAAATACTTTTTTGTGGGTTTTTAAATAAAATACGATCTCACAGATTGATGCTCAAAAAACATACATATATTATGTGATAAGTAGGTAGAAAAAACATAAATGACAATTAAATTAGACACTTGGTTAAAGATAATTGAATCAAAAGATCACGACACCTTTTATTTTAAGTCTGAGACGAAAATTATGGAGGACAGAGGATGAAAGAATATAATGTCAGTAATTTAAGAGTTAATTGTGATGGTATTCGAGAAAATAGAATCTTGACTATAAAACAACTGTCGGTAAATACTTAAATATGCTGAATAAGCCAAAAACTTCAAATATTGCCCACATTATTAGCAAAATTAAATTTCATATATAATATGTTATTAACCGTGGTATTTTGAGACAGATTACTTATGAAATTTTGAATAGACTGCATACGACTTAGCATTAGAGTAATTTACGATTTAATGAACTTGCGACTAGCCTTGCTAAAAATAATACCGTCGAGACCCGGCTAGCATGTAAACGCTTAGGCCAATCGCGTGCCACGGTCGACGGTTTTACCGGCGAAACCGCATCCACCCCGCTCTCTCGACATTACACCCTTACCAATGCTCGAGATAATAAACGCCACTTTTATTGCACTACCAGCATTATTATAACAACTTCTATCTATAATAATAATGTATGAAAATGCACCCAGAACCGGCTCAGACGATGATCGGTCCCTTCGCAATCGTGCTGCATATTATATACGAATTATGCGCAGGGGTTGTTGTTATTATTATTGTTATTACCATTACTGTGCACGTTTACCACCGACGATGGTTCCGATCGGCCTCAAGCTAAGGTATGAGAATTCGTTTTGATATTTTTTATATTTCATAACCAGGGAGGTGGGTACAACTTCCGAAAAATTATATTTTTCCATCGTGATATTATTATTTATAGTTGGTACCTATAATTTATTGATTAATTCGTTCGGATATGGTACGCTAAATACAAATTACAGGGGCGTATGCAAAATATACAGCAAGAACAAAAATTAATGTTATGGTATGTTTTTGAAAAGATGAATAAATGATTAGTACTTATATTTTAATATCAAACATCTTACCACCGTTTGTTTTTAAATTAATAAAAACATTTTTCTGAAAGTTTAAAACATGTTTAAATGTTTAATTTTGGTTTCAATATTATAAAACTAACCATAATATAAATTATGTAGATAGTCTACCAAAATCGTTGGATATATCTCTATTTATATTATACTAATTACCTACCATTACGTTAGCCGTTCATGGTCATCTATATTTTATTCTAATGTTTACGATACAAGAATATTTAAAGTATCGTATACCTACGTTTAGATTTAAAAAAAAAAATTTGTTAATATTAATATGAAATAAATATCAGTGTACTAATATAAATTAACATAAATAAATAGTATACGTTCTAGTACAAAAATCCATATGATTTCAACATAATAATATGTAACACATTATCGAGAAGGGTTTTGAATGTACCTACCTAAAATCATTACACTTATATAATATGTAATGTATGTATGTACTATTGCCTGTTGGAATAATAAATTACTATATTATAACTCAATGAGAAATAATAAATAACTGTTGGTTATTATTGTTAACTATAAAAACTAGGTAAGATGTTTAATATCAACAAATGATTAAGTAATATTATATATTAGTTATACACAAATCATTTTAAATAAATTAAATTTCAGTATTCAGATTTAGCTACTGTTACTTGGTATTTTTGAATAAATGACTGAAACATTAAAATGTATCTTAATATATTTCATAAGGTAGATATTTAGATGTAAAATATAAAACGTGTCAGTATTATGTTGCAGTAATATCGCCATGCTCATTAACACATCACATAATAATTATACAATGTTTCAAAAGAGAATATACCAGATTTACATAAGAAAACCGGTTTTGTCAGTGGCTGCCTGGTATGTTCTCTTTTGAAACAGGGTATAGTTACATATATTAATGTAAATTGTTTCATTTTACATGTATTTATAGAAAACAGTGACATAATAAAATTAAAAGTATATTCAAATTATTTTTGTTGAGCCACATGTAAACATTCTTTTTCATTTTCTTTTATAAATTATTTAGCTCTTTTCTTAAATAGGTACTTTGTTTTAATAATATGTAAAAATATGAATTCACGTAATATTGCTTATATACATAAACATGAAAACAGCAGACTTCAAATTTGTATACTTTATTTTTGTGATACAAGGGTTACCTACTCAAAAGTCATTTGAATAAAAACGACAACCGCACCGGAAAACCGGAAATATCGGTATAGTTTTTATCACGAGGGTAAAGCGGACATACGGTCTAATTTAGTTCCGCTTAGGTTCTATTCTCCAACTACTATAAAACTGAAATATGTTGTAGGAATGACAATATATACTACCTAACATTGATTGCCAGCTAAAGTGCTATGTCAAAGGTGAAATCTTAATGGATATTATATTAACCCCATTCTCCGATTTATTGACATTCGTAATAACATTTTACATTTTGGAACAAATCAAATTTAAACACATTGTTTATACTCTTTGTGTTAATCATTTGATGATGAATAACAATTAATATATTTCGATTTTTAAACTGTGAAACGTTAGATTTGATCATTAGTTTCCGAACAGTAAGAATAGTGTAGGTAACGATATAGAAATGATTTATTAATCACATTTTGTGCACAATATAAAACTCCTGTGACCTTCAAACCCATTTTTAATCTTTGAATAAATTCATTTTTAAGGGAATATTCTTATTATAATTTATAATCATTATAATATAACACTGTAAAAATGATATTGTATGACTGCATTATTTTTTGTTACATTCTTATCAAATTAAATAAAAAAAATCTACATTACAATTGTTATATAGACTGCAGATTACGTTTTAGAAATAAAATATTACATTTTAGTTTTATATAATTTAAATGAATATTTATTCATAAAACATTTATAGCATTCATAATGGAAATAAAATATGAAATAATAAAATGTACGTATGCAGAATAATAAAACAAAATTGTTCGTTTTTTGTATTGAACACGCGAAAACAATTCAAATTTATGTAACGTTCCTACATATTTTCTGATATCCATTACAGTTGTATATCTTACATAATTTATCAACATGTTGCGTGTAAATTAATTATAATAATAATAGCATATATTATGTATAAATATAAATTTGATAATTTATTCTAAAATGGTGTTTAAAGAATAGTTAATTTCGTTTTTATATTTTTTTTAATTAGATAATAAACAAAATATGTTAATTAACCACTATCTTATGTACCTATTTGTTTAATTTGTAAAATGTTAGAAGAATTATATTTTTTTATAAACAAAACTTTGAACGAAATTAGGTACCAACTGACAAGCCATTTTCGATTTTCAGTTTAGTATCTCACGGTACTCTATCATTTACTACATGCTAAAAGTAGTTTCACAACATTTAGAACTCATAATATCCACAGTTTAATGCTATATTATATAGATTACTGGCTGATCCCGTGTTTCTCGTTACCCGTTAAAAATGCCTA